TTTGTTGTAATTAACAATTTTTTTAGTTATTTATTTATAAAATTGTTGTTGTAACTATACAAATTCGTCGTTTTTATTAACTTACTCTAGCAGATATTTTGCAAAATGATTGTTAATGTATAATACGATATATTTTGTTGTAATTAACAATTTTTTTAATTATTTATTTATAAAATTGTTGTTGTAACTATACAAATTCGTCGTTTTTATTAACTTACTCTAGCAGATATTTTGCAAAATGATTGTTAATGTATATTACGATGTATTTTATTGTAATTAACAATTTTTTTAGATATTCATTTATAAAATTGTTGTTGTAACTATTCAAATTCGTCGTTTTTATTAACTTACTCTAGCAGATATTTTGCAAAATGATTGTTAATGTATAATACGATATATTTTGTTGTAATTAACAATTTTTTTAATTATTTATTTACAAAATTGTTGTTGTAACTATACAAATTCGTCGTTTTTATTAACTTACTCTAGCAGATATTTTGCAAAATGATTGTTAATTAATATATTACGATATATTTTATTGTAACTCAGTATTATATGTATCGGAGACGGAGCGCGAGAGGGTTGCGGACCGAAGGAGCTCGTGAGGAGAACAGCAGGGGGTAAATTTATTCGTGCCGGATTATACGCGATAAGCGACGGGCGAACTGGACAGCGGTCACTCAAAGTATACCTCTCGAGCGTACAGCATCTATTCGAATAGAAATTCTGTATCGTTCTGTAAATAAATTAGGAGAGAAAAAAAAATAGTTAGGGCTAATTAATTATATAAATTAATTATTGCAATGAACTTTCTCGCGCGAATATCTTGTAAATTATCTACGAATATTATGTACAAACTTATTTTTATGTAATTCTTTGCAATTACTTATTACCGAAGAGACTCAATATAGTGTCCGAACTATTTTGAACACAATAGTTTCATTTTTTACGAAAAGTTTCATTCAGATATGTTGTTAAAAATTCAATTTTACGCGCGGTTTTTTAAGAAGTGACGTCATCAACGAAAATTGAACCAGTAGCGCCATCTCTCCGGCGAACAGGGTGAACTACACGGTTTTGGAACTGGAGGTTCATTAGTTCTCCAAACTGCCACTAGACGGCGCCGCTTGTATCTTTTTTTTTTTAATTCAAATTTGATTAGTATAATTGATTATAATATAAATTTAATTACATCAAAGTGCAAGACCAATTAACTTCGAATTGACTTTATTTTTCACTCAATATTACTGAAATTTAAATAATTAAAATAATTAAAATTTTGAATAATAAAAAGGATAAATAATACAAATTTTTATTATCCACTTTTAAGCAATATTCGAATTTTTAAAAATCCATTAAAACTAATATATACAACGAAACAATTATACCACATATAAAAAAGTATTGCATTTATTTCGTATAAAAAAAAGTAGAAAATCAGTATATACATAATAATACATAATGCAAATATCTACACGTATATCTTTATGTTTTCTACCTCTCCGAAACCTTATCTCCGTTTCGTTGTAACATTAAGATAACATGTACAATAACATCAAGTTTTATATGTTACTCTCGAACTTGGCACATTAAGCCTATATCCTCTTTCTTCGTTGCTCCCTATGGCTTATTACGCCGAGAAGTTGGAATCATTGAAGGAATCGGTGTTATCAGAATTGCTTTCGGCTGCATCCACAAAGGCGGTCGACAGATCTCCGGCCAGTTTGCTGACAGTCTGCGAGACCACGTCGTACATGAAGATCTCTTTTTCGCCTTGCTTCGCGTCCTTTGGCCTGCAATACCATAAAAGACCATTACCCGAAAGAAAGTGAAGTCAAGAAGTGGTTCACGGAAGCGTTCAGAATCTCCGATGGAAATACTTAAACCGTAGCTCGTTAAAAATTAATCGTGCACCATTTAAAGCGAGCGAGCGAGTTAACGACGGCAAACAGGTACGGTGATTAGTTATGGCATCGAACGCGTGTACCACCACTTACATGGTTACCAACAGCACCACCGACTGCTTCTGCGGCTCGGTACGGCTCTCCTGTTCCAGCCACTTCTTGTAGTTCTCCGCGGTGGGTTTCTTCACCAGTTGCTTCAGCGTGTCACCGGCGAGAAACTTAACCGCCTGCACATCGCTGACCCGCCTGCCCTGTCTCGACTCGATTTCCTTCTCCTCCTGAAAGTTGTAGTCGACCGGAGCCAGCACCACCACGCTGGAGATCTTTCGTCCGTTCAGCTGCGGCACGTCCGGGATCGGGAAGGAAGCGCCGCTCACTTTGAGCGGTAGGTAACGATTGTACTGGGATTCGTCTCTGGTTCCCACGGTTACGGGATTCAACCTGGTAGCATCATCGCGTATGTGCTGATCCGCGAGTGCCTGGCCTTGCTCCGTATTCGGATCGAAGCGTACTACTTTCATCTCCACACCTCCTGGCCGCAAGGTGGCCTGTTCGATCTTCGTCGAGCTACCGTCAGAGTCGTTCGAGGAGGTGGAAGAGGAAGAGGAGGATGAGGAAATGGAAGAAGAGCTCTCTGCCATTTCGGGTTTCTTCAGGATCGACGGGACCGGTTCGCTCGCTGCAACCGCGGAAGCGCCTCCGGCGCCGTAGAAATTCGCCAGGGCCTCAGGCGGTAGTTTCTCTATCGGTATGTCGCCGACCTTGTCGTAATCCAGTATCTGTATGTCGGCGTTACCCAAAATACCGGAACTCAGCAACTGCTCCCTGATATCGTCCGGCACCTCGTCCGGCAAATTCGCTATGTTTTCTCTGATCTTCGCCTCGTTCTTCGGCGTGGTGGTTGTTGGAGCTTCCGTGGTCGTGGTCGTGGTCGTCGTCGTGGTGGTGGTTGTCGTACTCGAAATGAACGGCCTGACCGCGGAGATTGCGTTGTAATCCTCCGTAGGAGTAATCGGGGTAGCGTAAATCTTCTGAGAGGGATTCGCGGAGAACGACGGGCGTCCCCAGATGGACGATCGTTGAGAAGATGGCGGGAATCGTTGCTGCGGTTGATGTTGAGACGATTGCGTATTCTGAGAGAAAAATCCTTGCTGCTGATTTTGAATGATCTGTTGCTTCGTGTTTAGATGCTGCTGGTGATCGTTTATGAACTCGCTAGGTGGATTTCTTTGAAACTGATGACTCTCCGTCGGTGGATTCGATTGTTGAACAGAATCATACTGATTTCGCGGTGGTTCCGAAAACCCCGTTGGCTGGACTACAGGATTAGGTGGGAAAGGACCAGGATGAAGAGGATTCTCTCGAATCGCGTAATGTTGTTCTAACTTAGGAACGGCTTTGAAAATTTCTCCATCGGGCTTCTGAATCGGAGACTGAGCAGGGATCTGCGGTATACCCTGCACCGATTGCGCCTGATTGTACTTCAATTGCGAACGATACTGTTGCTCTTGTAACAGTTTATGTTCCTGCTCCTGCTTTCTCCTGCGTTGCTCCAACAACCTCCGCTGTTCCTGCAATCTCTGTTGATCTTGCAATCTTTGCTGCTCTTGCAACCTCTGCTGCTCCTGTATCCTCTGCTGTTCCTGAATCCTCTGATGATCTTGCTGCTGTCTCTGCTGCTCCAGCAACCTCTGTTGCTCTATGTGTCTCTGTTGTTCCGTCTGTCTCTGCTGTTCCAAGAACCTTTGATGTTCCTGAAGCCTCTGTTGTTCATGCTGCCTCTGATGATCTCGCTGCTTCAGCAGCTCCTGCTGACGGCGTTGTTCGTGGTACCTCTGTTTCTCCAACTCGAGTTGCTTATAAGGAGGCAGAGGCTGTTGTTGCGGTTGTTGATGCTGTGGTTGTGGTTGCTGATGAGATTGTGGTTGTGGATGCGGCTGTTGATGCTGCGGTTGTTGTTCTACATTGAAATGATTGCCCTGATTCACCGGCAACGGTTGATTTTGTATCTGCACGTTCTGATGGGACACCGACAGCGCAGGAGGGAAACCAGGTTGCTGAGGATGATTGATATTGACGCGGTGTGACGGGGCTGGGTTGGAGAAGCTATTGAACGGTGCTCGCTGTTGGACTTCCGGTAAGCCTTGAATCGTTATAGGCAATCGTTGAGGTCTCTGCAACGGGTTTCTCGGTTGAATGGCAGTTCCAAATGGTGGCTGTTGTTGCAGGAAATTTATCGGCGGTTGCGGCTGAGGCGGTTGCTGAAGAGCTTGCGGTTGCGGAAACGAGTTGGCGATCCTTTGCTGCGGAAATGCAGCCGGTACCCTTTGAGGGACAGGCTGGATCGGTTGGTACGGGCCGTGCTGCCTTTTTGGAGATCCCGGAGGGGAGGACGGCGGTTTGGCTTGTTGCTGAGTGGGCGGTGTCTCGAGGTCGCTGCGTTTATTGTGATTGTTCGGTGGCACCTGTTCCGTGCCGAACGTAACGCGAATACCGCTAGAACCGGAGTGGTACACTTCACTGTCCGGTCGAATGATCGTTCTCAAAGTCGTGGAAGGTTCTGTTGGTGCCGGTGTCGCTGTGTGAACAGGTTCTTCCGGGTAAGGCGCCGGGTTATCAGGCTTGATCTCCTCGTGTTCCTCGACAGGTGTTAGCGCAGGTACCGGTGGGTCGTAAACGACTCGAGGCTTGTCTCCGTAGCCTTTCTTCTTCTCGTACTTGACGTAGAACACCTGGATGGGCTCCTTGGTGGGTTTCGGAGATGGAGGGGGAGGAGGTGGCACCGGCGTTGGCAGAGACTCGTTAGATTCTTTGATGATAATTTCGATGATCGGCTCCGGTTCCGTTGGGTAATAATTTACCGGAGCTTCCTCGTAAAGGTCGTCGCTCTTGGAGCTGGCCAGAGGATTGTAAAGAGGATCTCTCTGGGAGTACTGAACGATCGGCTCCATTTGGACCGCGTACGGTGGTGGTCTGCCTCCTCTCCTTGGATAAAACGCGACCTGCTGTCTCTTATCGCGGCTCTTCGAGGACTCATCTTTGGCTAGGGTCGCAACGACGGTGATCGCTGCCGCTACGAGAATCTGCAACGGTGAATTCACGCATCGGAACTGACGGCAATTTCTGCGATTCGAACGCGAAACGCGTTTGTGGAAACATCGTGGTCTCGCGTGGCTAACCGAGTGACCCGATTAATAAACGAGAAGAAACATCCTGTAAGACCTTAAGTGGCCGATCGATTGGTATTCTAGCGTCGCCGAATGGACAGTTACTGCTACCCTGATAAGCGATTCCCAGCCGCGATCGTGTTCCCGATATGGCGAGGCCGAGTTACAGCACGTATCGGATATAGGATGTTTCTCGGGTTTAAATTGCGCGAACAGAACAGAAATTCTTGCCGCTTGCTTCACATGGTTACGGAGAAAGAAGGAGAGAAAATTTAGGTTTTAGATTCACAACGTGCGCGTTTCACCTCGAGAATTCGGTGACTCTCCTAAAGCGGAAACCTCTTAATATTCTTCGAACAGAAAAGAAAACCCGGTTCGGCCGCACGTTTTTACACGATTCTCATATCAATTAAGACACGGTTGATCTTGAGGATCGTCCGAACCCGCGCGACGGTACAAACAACGATAACGATTAGCTAAACGCACATAAACGCTCTGTTAATCTGATATACTTTCCCTCGCTAAGTAGCCAAAGGCGATACGCTGACTGATTGCAAATGATAGAACCGCGTCGAACGTTTCCCGCGAAGCAGACATGCTTATTACGATGAAAGTACAAGCGAACACATTCTTGCAAACGAACCGTTTATCTTATTATCCGAGAGTTTCTCTCGGGATTCTGCGACGAAAGGCAACGAACGATCTTTTAATTACCAGCTCGAAGAAACGCATGGTGTATGTCAGAAATGACCAGTCGGTGGACCCCTCTGACGAACGTTCAGTCACACTTCACCGAATTCACGTGCTAACTTTATCAGGAGCGGCTAACTCGCGATAGGCAACATGATATCCGTAGGACCGGGCATGTACTGAACGATATTGAATGGAGCTTCGTATGGGAACTGAGGACAGATTGGGCCCAGAGGCCCGTTTCTCCCTACCTGATGCCACCACCACTGGACTCTTCAAGAAGCTCCTCTCTAATATCGAATACGGTGGGGCACCTTTCTCTGGCTACGTACGCGGCTAGCGCAACACAGCGTTAAAGTAACAGCGTGCAGGACATACAGACGCGGTCCGAGATGCGAATAAAAAATAAGCAAGAAAAAAGAAAAGATTCGTGTACCGAGACACGGGAAGGGGAAGCCGTTGTCGACTTTCTTCAAATCCTCCCGATGGAAAAGAAAGGAAGACGATCGGATCCCTTGTGACCTCCAAGGCCTATCGAAACCGAAACCTGCCTTTCTTCTAGGAGAAGGCCGTCTGGCATCACACCGAATTATTCGGTGAAAGACTACCGCCTCGAACCTTAGCAACGCGTCCTCGTCTTCGTGTGTGTCTCTGTTTGTGAACTCGCGGTCGCGTGATCGTGCAGTTATCATTACTTTCGCTAAAGCCTTCAAGCGGTTCCGAGCGAACGATTTCTTACGAATCGTTTCCTGCGTGTCTATAACGACTTCTCTTTCTTTCCGATAAGCGAAGGCTGTCGATCACTTTTCTTCGCGTATTATGCGATTCGAGATTTTGTACAAACTGAGAGAAGCTTGTTTGTACTTTTTCCTGAATGTGTTAACGAAAATATCGTTGATCAAACAATTTTGGGTACTTTATCTCTTAACACTTACATGTCTCTCATTTTTGGAAACTTATTGATTTTTATTGATTATTGAAATGACAACTAATAGCAAGTATTTTTACTTCGAGACTTTATTAAAAATGCATATTTATTTGTATAATTTTGTTAAACTAAAATACTGAAGGTAAATTATTAATTAATTAGACTTCAATATCGATTGACAAGACATCTATTTAACAATTATTTCCATGCAATTATTTGCATTATACCATATGTCTATTATCATTAATAACATATGTAAATATATGAATACATTCTGTTCGTTTATGGGTCTATCGATACTGATAAACTTTATCAGCTTAATTTCCTGTTCAGCTTACATTGTTATAAACATATTTTAATTCGGATAATTCTTGCGTATCTTTCAATTTAATGTATCTGCATAATTAACTGAGTACCACGGAATTTACATGATAATAAAAGACCCTTTACAAACGAAGGTTCAATACGACCGTTCCTTTCAATAATATGACAAAAATAGCCCGAGATTTTCCAAACAAGTTCGTCCCGCGTGAAAAGACCGAGTGCACTATTTTCCGTAAATCGCGTTCAGATCGCTGTGAAAGGAAAGAAGGCTAGAATACCGGTTAAACGAGGATGACCTGGTAAATCCCTTCGTTGCAAAAGCTCGAATGATGCAAAGTTCTCATACTTGCATAACACGCGTTCTGCATTGATCTATCGAGTAACGGAGACAAGTCCGGAACGATTTCCTGCGGTCTTCCTGATCCTCCGACAGATTCACTCTTGAACCGCAACCGCGAAGAAATTTCACTTCCCGATCGAAAGTTTGTCAAACGATTTTGAAATTGACACGTACATTGACATTTGATTTCGATGGTCCATGATGACCAGCACGGATGAGCATTTAGCAAATATCCAAGTCGAGATTCGACGTCTCACTCGTCCTACTTGGAAACTTTCACTTACGTTGGCGTAAGAGGTCCAAGTAAGATCGAACAGGATGAACAAAGAATCGAATGGTCAACTGTATTAAGACATCTGATCAAATGGTACATTGATTTAAGGGAGATCGATGGTTTTATAAATACACTGATCTGGGAATTTGTTATGATGTATATACATCAGTAGAGTTTCACTGTTTGCTTTCGATTTTGGGAAAATATCTGCATACACTTGCATTTATGAATTTTTTGAACTTCTTTATGTTTGTATATCACTATATCTTCAAGTTATCAAGCTGCTTTATGGTGAGGTATCATCACATTCCAGAAACTTTCAAATTTTCCACAAACCAATATCCCCAATGTGATACATGTATTTTTATGTTTCTAGACTCCTCGGTTACTCTGCTACATTCTTCTACCTCCATCTATATTTCCATTACATGAATGGAAAAATGTCACATGTCACAATAAATCCACAAGAACATTCCTTTCAACAAAAAGACTACGGGCCTAAATTTGAACCCAGCAAAATCTAGCTCAATGAAGTTAACTATAATGTTTAAAAAAACAAGCAAGAATGAATAAACGAGATGAGCGTAAAAAGGCAGGTTTATTACAGAGTTTAGCAATAATTGCAACAGCACAATTGTGAAACAGTATTTAATAGAGGATTGCAGGAATCTCAGCCGTCATGTTCTCATGAAAGTCCGAGATATAGAGTGGCAGATGATACGATTCGCCTTTTGCGGTTGTGCTCGTTGTAGGCATATAGTTCCCGAAGAGCGGTGTGCTCATGAGCAATAACGTAACTGCTGAAGAGTGAAAGTGGCGTAAAGTGGGACATGGCGAGAACCATCGGATCTTCTAATTAATAAATAAAGCAAAACAAACAATTCTCATTTTCCCTGGATTCTGTATTGAATCGAAGATGATCAGAATTCCGTAAGACCTTGGCTGACATATTATATTCTTATGTGTTACGTGAGAAAATGATTTAACGGGTGACCACTTTCTTAGCTTCCTCGAACGATAAACTCGCATCTTACATTATAAAAAGAATCTGTCCGGCGATTTTCACGTCTGGCCGGTTAGCGTTTTTGTTTCGAACGGTCACTTTCTTCGCGGAAAACTACATTATACTTACCTATCGATCGCGCCAATGCATATGCTTATAACTGTCTTATATAATTAAATAGTAGGTGTACGAGGCGTTAAACAAAAAGTATCCTTTACCGACGTAATGCCTGCTGCACTTTCTATTTCCATCTCGCAGACTTTTAAACACGGTGTACCGTTATTAAAAAAACACGGCAATGATTATGGTCCTCGCAATTTTAGCTCCTATGGTGTGTACATACACATAGATGTACTTCTATAAGGTAATTACCTCTCTGATAAATACCTGTTCGATAATTACCTCTTCGATAAATACTGTCTTTCAGATGTCAATTTGCTTTAAATATTTAACTTCAGCTCCCTTTTTACCTGAAACCAGGAAATAACACATGATATATTATGTGAGACTTGGACTCTGAGTGCTGTAAATTATATTTTTTATAAATTCTCTGATTTTCAAAGAACACGTCACTTACCTTTTTTCATTAGCAAGTCCTAATAATCCAAGTTCGAACACAAAAAAAAACTAGTTCTCATATTAATTTTTAATGTCTAATCTATTATCCAGCGCCTCAATTTTAACATAAAATTAAAAGCACGTGTACTGATCAATCAAATTCCCGCGGCCATTTTACAGCAACGATGGCCGCACCTAGCGACATTCGGTGCACATGTAGAGTCTGTACAAAAATTCGTGTCACGATCGACCAAATATTTTCCGTTCTAGACGTACACGGTTGGTTATTGGACTCCTATATTGTGGTACGTACTCCGAACATCATATCTCGAGATCGTGTTTGACATGAGACCTACTTTGTTTGGATTATCACGATATAGCTATTGATGCGTGCACTCTGGCCATCATTGTTTGTCGTTTGTCATACTTTACGAGAAGTGACCTCGATCAATTGTACATGTTTTGCATTTTTTATGCAGGACTTTTTTCAAGAGAACCTGTGGGAAAAATTGCCAGAAAGTTGGAGGTTGACGTTGCAAGATACACCTCCTCAGGAGTTTGGTAAATGGTTGTCGGGAGACATCTCGTGGTGGGTATAGATACTATGCGGTTTGAACTTATGATTTGCATATTGATGTATTTTTATTTTATTATATTGCAGCACACGTGTGTGGCCTTTGTCATTGCTTGCACTACGACAAGTGACTAATATTTTACAAGTCAATAGGAATCATGAGGATCCAGAAAGTATTGTATCCTGTGAACTTAATGTAACAAATAATAATAACAATGAAGCAATTAAAGCGGATAAAGACAGTACACTTGAGGAGATACATTCCCAGGATCATAAATTTAGGAACCTGTTCTCGAAACACATAAAAAAGAAAAAGAGATACGAGATACAAGAGATAGCTCAAGTAATGTATTACTTTGTAATTTGTTATGTGTTCCTTGTTTGTATATCATTAATATTTTAGGTGTGTGCAGATTGTGCCCATGAAGCTAATTGTAAGTGTATTGTTGATATTGGAGCTGGAATGGGCCATTTGGCTCGGATCTTAGCTTTTCAATATGGATTATATGTTACCTGTATCGAACAAGATTGTATATTATTACAACAAGCTAGGTAAGTTGTTATATCGCATGAATATTGTAGTTGATGTTAAAGATTTCTGTTTATTACAGGAAATGGGATCAGGAATTATTCTTGTCCATAAAAAAGCATTTACCTAATTTTTGTCAGAAATGTCCACAACAATTTATAGCAAAATTGGAATCAGCAAATTTAGTAGAATCAGAATTAGTTAGTCAATTACAGGAGCTATTTCAGAATAAATTCAACCTAGATGAATTGGAAACTAAATTTGGTCTTGTAGGACTTCATCCTTGTGGAGATTTAGCCCCAATATTATTAAAACTTTATTCCTCCAGGAGTGAAGCAAAGTTTATTTGCATTGTAGGATGCTGTTACATGAAATTAACGATACAGTTTGTATATTTCTCATAAAATTTATCTCTATTGATTTCTCTATGTTCAGTATGATTTATTTTTAGATCAGAAGTAAGTGGATTGAAAGGTTATCCACTAAGCAAGTACCTGTTATTACGTAAAAATCATTTGTTAACTTATACATCATTAGAGGTAGCTTGTCATGCAATTGAAAAATACTGTGACAAACTAAAGATTGGGAACTATGAAGATTTAATAGTTAAGTGAAATGATTAATGCATACATGTTTGAACATAAATGATTAAATGAATGGCTTGTTTCAGGTACATACTTATAGAGCAGCTTTAGAGACTATTTTAATTAAAAAATGTGAAAAATTACGTCATAGTCAATTGAGAAACGTTAAAGTAACAAAAGGGATGTCATTTAGACAGTTAAGTGACTAATATCTCATAATAAATATATAAATATTGTAAGAATGCGTTTAAACATTTTCTGATTTATTCCAGGTACTGTATTACAGCTACAGCACATTTTGACACTAATTTACACATACAAGATTCCGACATTAATAACGCAGAAATCAATAGTTTTCTGAACCAGTGGCAACAAGTTATAATATTTGGATCCCTCAGAATGATGTTGGCGCCATTGGTGGAAACAATTGTACTATACGACAGATTCTTATTTTTATCCGAAAAAAATTTGACACCAACACTGAAACCGGTGTTCGACAGTAGACTGTCTCCACGAAATCTAGTGTTAATGTCCAGGAAAAAATAACTAAGATAATTATTTTTCAATTATTTTCCGATAAATAACCCTACTTCCTCGATCGATGTACGGCAGGGTGCAACGTAGGCTTTCTTTCGGTTACTGATAATTGTGGGGGAAGGGGTGTTCTACCGCCATTTACAAAGTTTGAAAATTTCAGGTTCCCAAATTAACTAAACTTTCAAATTCCCAAGTTTCCGAACTGTCAAATCCCGAAGTTTCCAAATTGTCAAACCTCCAAATGTATAAATACGGAAAATTCTAAATTCGAAAGTGTGTCAATCAAAAACTCACTTGTGGATCCCCGTCCCTTGCATTGTCATTTTCCGTGAGGATTGATATGTTCACCGATGTACATCCACAATTGGACTTCCCGCGTCCATGAATCAAAGTCGCTCCAGATTGTGCCTCCCTGATTGGACAATACCGTATAATTACAATCGTTAATTCGAACGAAGTGCTTCAATTTCCCCTGCACGATATAATCGCAACACTTTCAAACATTGCACCAATACGTATCGCCGCATCTCGCAAGCGAAACTTCGACGCGTTATTTAACAAGAATTTTCGCGACATACAAGCACCGCGTCGACCAATCGACGTGTAGGTCAAAGCGACGCTGCGCATGCGCGAGATCCCGCCTTAAGGATACGTTGGTACTTGAACGGTAGCGTCGATAGATAGCGCTGTAGTAGCCGGCTAGCTCGCTACGGGCAGAGACGTTCCTCTCCAGCAACGTCGAGATCCAGTTTCCCTTAAGCCGCTCTCGCGCGTTTGTCTGTTCTCGTCGCGTTCGCGTCGTGTCCTACCGATTATTTTCTCCTTCCTCCCCCCTCCCCCGTCCGCGCACGAGATCGTCGACACGGTAGAGAGCCGCGCGGTATACACACGTACGTGTCGTTGTTGCACCGAGTGTCCTCTGCTTGAAAAAAAGTAATTGCCCGGTGTCGAGGCCCAGGATGGCATTCAACGGAGACGGACCACACTCTAAGAGGCAGCGACTCGAGGAATCCGGTCACAGGGTGAGTACTTTTAATACCTTTCGCACGGTGGACCGTAGGTTTTTTCGGTCGGTTAGGTGGCTTTTTTGTCGTAACGCGAACGATCGTGGTTAAGCGTTAGACGGCCGAACGCGTGCGTTTCGGCGTGTCGCGTGAGGATTTACAACTCGCGAGGCGGCTCGCGAGC